TATATATATATATATTCAGATATTTAATCATTATTTTTTCGCATATTTTTTTCAGGTATTATTAAACATAATAGGGATCGCAATATTTTGTAAATGCTTTATTATTTTTGTAACGATCTTATTTTAATTTCAATAAGGCACGTTTCCTGCTCAGCAATTGCATGCGATGATAAAATTCTTCTCTTCGGAGCACGATTAATAGATAATTATAAAGAGAGAATAAAATCTTATAACATTAAGTTTGAATTGCGTTTGTCTTGAAAGTATTTCACTATTCATAATATTTCACAGAAAATTAAAAGAATTGATGAAAAATAAAGAGTTAAATTATATCGTGATATAAATTGTGATTGCACAATATTTCCTTCGATATATTGAATGTTGTAATAAAAATGGAATAAAACGTCAAAACAAACTTTGAATCGCGTTTATAAAATAACTACAATTTTATAAAATATGCGAAGAATTTCGGAATTCAGAAAACACGCATTGTTATTGTAAAAGGTGCGTACTGACTTGAGCATTTTTGCGCGCACGAACGATTTATCCGCACGAACGTTTGTACGGGTAAACTTCTTTGATATCAAAAATTTTTATTCGTTCATACAAAACTGTGCTCCAGTTGTTCGCCGTAAATAAAAAAATTAAAAAAAAAAAAATAAATAAATACCTTTTTCTGTTCCAATGCTTTTTTTACCCTTTGCCTTTTTTTCTACGAAAGGATCCCAGTAAACTGGCCATTTCTTGTTTTGCTATAACTGCGTCCATTTTCAAGTTATTTGCTATTATCTCCCAAGCATCAACCTTCTTATTTCTTGAAAAATGGAACTCGTGTTTAGCATCCCACAATAAGGGAAACTTTTCGTACTTATCTATTAATTGGAGAGCCATTTCATTCGTCCACTCCATAACTTTTTTTTGCGCGCACGACGTTTCAGTTTTGCATACACGTCCAAATTGAGCATCGTTTCGCACATAAATTCTTTGGTGAGCGACAAACGACGGATCGCGTTTGTGCGTGATCAGAGCGTGCGGCGAAACAAGAATGATACGTCCTCACTAGAGCATTCGTGCGCGCAAAAATGCTCAAGTCAGTACGCACCTTAGAAAAATGTACAAATAATAAATGGATATGAGAGAGTAAAAAGATTCTTGCGGCGAAATATAATATACAAAGGTTTATCGAAGTACATTATCGATGATTTATATTATATTATATTATGCGCAAAACCTTCCTCTGCGTGTCGTTATTTCCAAGTGTAATATTTTGAGCTGCTGAATAATTACTGATATAACGAACATAATTAGAGCTGTAATTAAACTGTAAAATTAAACTTACAGATATACGGCATTAATCATCTCTCCCGTATGCAATATTATAAAATATAAAAACGTGATAAAAGAAATATATTCCTCTTGGAAAAATCAACGAGAAAATCTTATAATTAATCGCCAGCATAATGTCGATATCTCAATAGCAATTACAATTGTACAGTGTATTATACACGGAAAAAAAAAATTAGCTGCCGTAGCTAAAAACTGCGTGTGGTAACTAGATTTCAGTCGTAATATATGGACAGCGAACATCTTAGCTGTGACACCTATTTATTAGGTGCAACAGCAAACATCTTAGCTGTGATACCTATTTATTAGGTACAACAGCAAACCGTTTTGCTGCAGTTTAGAAATTTATTTTGCAAACCATGATTAGCTATGGTAGCGAAAATTTTTTTTTCCGTGTACGTTATGTGTCAGTTTAATAAGAATGCGATATTAATGATTGTAATTTTCTTTGAGGAAAAAGTCACGCATCGGTTCGACACCTTTCATGTGTCAGCTGATTCGTCAGAGAAAGAACACATTCGGTGGACTTTTATAATGCACGACACGAAAACTTTGTACGCGATGAATAAATCATGGGTGCGGTCAGATGATTCTTGTTTCGAACTTTCCGATCAAAAATTCAGTTTTTCGAATATCATCGTCGTGCGAAAATTTTATTTAATTTTGCGCGTTCTAAATAACCATCCTTTGTGGAATATGCTTTTATACCGCGCCTTGCCGTAAATGTAGTAAAAGCCCTTTTACATGTAACGCAAAATGAAATATTGACGAGGGAGTATTCTTGCGTGATATTGAGGCTTTTGTTACACGACTGGTTGAAGAATAAATCATTTCAATTATTTTTGTATAGGTAAATAATAACTAATATTTGTCAGTGTTTTTATCAATGGTTTGATCATATCGAAAAATTGAAAAAAAGTTAAAATTAAAAAGAAAAGAATATGTTATATATATATATATATATATATATTATATATAACGAACTCAGAAGTTTTGTTGACATAAGATTATATTTATTGCGATGACACGTAGAAAGTGTCGTTAGTCTTTGATGATCTTTCGATACGGTACATATATATATATTCTTCGATAATTATTAATTATTATATTCTGTCGAGATAAATGAAACATTTTACCAAGGAGCGCGCTTGTTTTAAAATTTTTTCTTTTGGCATTTCTGATTATTCTAAATCGTACAATTCCTTTTTTGTCAATTAGCATACAGGTATTTATGTCAGCGATTTACGTCTTGTTCTTATACATTCTATACATTTCTTTGAGACCTTCTTTATTTATGGTACAGCCAAGGACGTATTTATATAGAAACTAATA